CCCAAACCACAAATCGTCCGCATATGCCAAGATTTGCTATGATGATGATGATGATGATGATGATGATGATGATGATGATGATGATGATGATGATGATGACGCTGGGACTGCTGGTGGTGATGGCGGTGGTGGTGATTGCGGCGATGGTGATGGTGAGCACGACGACGACGACGACGCCGTCGGCCGCCCGCTTCGTGGCACCAAGCTCTGCTAGTACTCCGCGCGCATGTCGGATTGCAGCGGGGTTGATTTGTTTCTCCAGTGCGCAGCCGTTAGATCACGCGCTCCTAAGTGAAGCTGGCATCGAGCTGTGGTGCATTAGCCTGCCCCCCAACAAAAAGCATGCCACATGTCCACCACCGTCCCACCACCCTGCCATCACCACCACCACCACCACTACCGCCATCACTATCACCACCACCTACCATTACCACCCACATCATCATACATATATAGCTCGACAAAGAGGTGGTCAGAGAGATAACCAGAATACATAGACGGATGGAAATATATATATATATATATATATACGGATGTATATGTATACCTATATATATGTATGTATAAGTAGGTGGGTAGATAAATACATGGCAAGGTAGGTATCTGTATAGATGGATGGGCCGCTGGGTAGATAGGAAGGTGCGCGCAGCCAAGCGGCAGCCAAAAAATAAGCGGGACAAGAGCTGCCACGTACTCTGCATTGCAACCAACAAACAAATACCACCCACTCCCGATCGCTGCTATGAAGTACGGAACAGGCAAATAAAACCCAACTGTTACCACCACCTGCGCAACAGCGCGGGTAGAAGCAAATAAATGCGACATGCGGCGCCTGCCGCCACAACATAGTGCACGAACAGAGACATGCCACGTCCTTGCGCAGACCATCCCCGCGGTGTATATAGATATACATATACACAATTATGACCTGTCTGAGGGATCGACTCAATCGATAGATCGATAGGTAGACTGATAAGAAATTGTACATCAATTTATATGTGTGTATATATATAGATGTATGCATGGAAACATAAAGCGTTGATAGAAACAAGCGGGGGTAGGATGTATGTACTATGTTTCGTGCATGATTGTGTTAGCGGTCGGCGGGCCCCCTAGCAAATCGACCACCTCCACCTTCCCCCACCCCCCCGAACCTCCTTATCACCTTAAGGGTGATCCTACCGGTACGTAGATTGATCGACACATCGATAGCGAGATCGATTAACAAAGTGTAGGGTCGATACAGATATCGGTAGTACGGCTGCTGGTGAGACTGGCGGATCGTGATATCGCTATAGGTGCGTATACATGTATGCCCATACATATATATCTGTATGTATACATGCACCTGTACGGATAGTCATACATACATACATCGCGAGGTCGATATATAACTACTGATCTCCAAGCATCTGTGGTGATACCCGCCACCGTGCCGCTGAGCAAGGAGTGGGCGTGTCCTCAGGTTTCTTGCCCAAGCCCCCCGAGTCTCGGTCCTCGACAATGGGCTCCGACACATCTTTTCACGTCAATTTGTCGGGTCCAAGAGGGCCCCGATGGGCCCCGTAGACGGTCCACGAGGGCCCCGACTCGCCGAACGATCGCTCCAAGACACTCAAGGTGGCCCCAAGACGGCCCAAGAGGCCTCCAAGACATCCAAAGAGGCCTCCAAGAGCCCTCCCAAGAGGGCCACAAGAGGCCAAACTCGCTGATTTTCTTTCGGCGTTTGAAAGTTTATTGGTGTTCTCGCTTTTTCGGCTTCCCGACGCTCCCGGACGGCCGAGGAGGCCCCCGAGATCGCCCCAAGATGCCGAAGAAGCCTCCAAGAGGGTCTCAAAACGGCCCAAAATGGCCCTAAGACGGCCCTAGAGGCGCCCAAGACGGCCCAAGAGGCACCCAAGACGGATCCAAGTGGGGGCGCAGAGGGGGTTCCCGAACGGACAGTTCAGCCCTCGGCCCCGAGGGCCCCCAGGAGGCCCTAAAAGGCCCTCAAAAGGCCCCCAGGAGGCTCTCAAGATGCCCCAAGATGCCGACAAGAGGCCCCAAGAGGCCGCGAAGAGGCCCCCAAGAGGCTCCCAAGAGGCCCCAAACTGCCCTCAAGAGGCCCCCGAGGGCGCTCCGACAAGACCTTGAGGAGCATCCCTCGGACCTCTGACCCACGACCCAGAGACGGCGGCGGGATGGGACGAAGGCCATTCGATCGATAGATCGTAATAGCATGTGTGTATATATGTATATATACATACATACATACATACAGACATACAAACATACATACATACATACATACATACATACATATATATATATATATATATTAAAAAAGAGTATCCCAGTGCGACCCTACCTAGGAGTTGGAACCCCTAGGAAAGCAGCATTAGTAGTAACAGTAACGCTAAGCTAAAGCTAAGCTGAAGCTAAGCTAAAGCTAAGCTAAAGCTAAGCTAAAGCTAAGCTAGAGCTAAGCTAAAGCTGAGCTAAAGCTGAGCTACAGCTAAGCTGAAGCTAAGCTACAGCTAAGCTAAAGCTAAACTAAAGCTAAGCTAAAGCTAAGCTAAAGCTAAGCTGCAGCTAAGCTACAGCTAAGCTACAGCTAAGCTAAAGCTAAGCTAAAGCTAAGCTAAAGCTAAGCTAAACGCTAAGCGAAAAGCTAAGCGAAACGCTAAGCTACAGCTAAGCTACAGCTAAGCTAAAGCTAAGCTAAAGCTAAGCTAAAGCTAAAGCTAAAGCTGAAGCTAAAGCTAAAGCTCCCAGGGGACTGGGGGGAACCGCTCCCAGGGGACTGGGGGAACCGCCCGGGGCGTGTTGCACTGCCCGGCCCCTTTAAGCTAAGAGAGTAAGAACCCTTCTAGGCAGAGCCTAGGTAGGGAAATACATGTATACATATATCTAGATATATATATATATGTATGTATGTACGCATATATGTTATATGTACCAATAGGCAGATAGGTAGTGAGGCCGACAATCAGATCGGTCGATATAAGTATCGATATATCGGCATACATCTTGTTGATCGCGATATCGATAGATAGATAGTGAGGCCGATCACTCGTGAGACTGGTCGAACTTGCTCGTTGGCTGGAGGCGGTTGTCACGATGGTTGTCCCGTCGTTAGTTCCACCCCCGCAGTCTCCTTATCGGCCTTTGGCCCGTCTTATAGGTAAACACAAGCATTCGAAGGTCCGCGAGGATCTCTCGGATCTGCCGACCCAATAATCAAGTCCGCGCGAAACTCCGACTGTTTGTGTGTACGCCGAGTTCCCTCCTTCGGTTAAAAGGGCGTCGAAGGCGGCAAAGACACACCCCGCCGTCCCGACTTGGGTGCCCGAGTTCTCCGGGGCAGCTCGGGCCCAGGGCAACTCGGGTTTGGATCTCCCAGAAACGAACCCGAGTTAGCCCTGACCCGAGTTACCCCTGATGATTTGGAACTCTGGACGCCCGAATTATCTGGGGTAGCTCGGGTCCAGGGCAACTCGGGCTCGGATTCCCGAAAAACCAACCCGAGTTAGCCCTGACCCGAGTTACGTCTGATGATTCGGGGCTCTGACCAACCCTGTTCTTACCAGCCTCGAACGTATCTCTATCCCTAAGACTGACACGCCTTTAAAGGCGATGACAATCTCAGGGATTCGCCCCCAAAAATAAGGGAATCCCTAAGATCGGCATCGTGATGAGGAGGTGCCCAGCACAGGGATGGGGATATGTCCCAGGCGGGCAGCGTCCTCCGGGCCGCACCCGGCCGCGGCGACGAGGGCCCCCCCCCGGCAAGGGCCATAGCAGCAGCGCCGGCCCGCCCCCTCCCAGGACGCCCGGCGCGCTGCCCCGGTCCGACGCGTGGGCCCCAGGGGGCCTGGGCTCCGACCCCCTCCCGAGAGGTGCCACGGCGGCCGGGCCAGGGCCGAGGCAGACAACGAGGGGGCCACATGCGAACCCTACCCCTACAGTCGGGGCCTTGACCCAAGGAGCCCATAATAGGGAACGAGGCCCCTGTTTTCCATAAATGAAACTTCGGTTTCCGATCGGAAACATAAGGAAAACCTGAGGCAAGCTGCGAAACACTTAAGGAACGCGGAGCCCCTCCCCAACGAAAAGGGTTCCTTCTTCAGGGCCCCGACTGTACCCCCCACGATCTCTGAGGGGGAGGGGGGGGGTCACTTCGTTCGGGAGGTCACGAGCGAAGTGAGCCCCACCCTCCCCCTCAAAAACCGTGGTGGGTAGGGGTAGGGTTCGCATGTGGCCCCCTAACAACGAAACAATCGCTGGCCAACCCTCCCACCCACCCCCCCGGCAGGCCGATGGCGACTCCTGCGCCGCGAGGGGGGCGGCATCCCGAGTGCCGAGCAGGCCTCCTCAGGATGCACCGAGGCGGCGAGCCGAAGCATGCGTTCTGTCACTTGCTGCTCGGATTTCCGCGTATCGCCCTCCAGGCTCATTTCCGTGAGGGTTCCTCTAGGACCCGAACATGTTCGATCATTTCCCTTGCGACTGTGCATGTCCGCAACAACTCTTGTGCTTATTGGTACTCTCCACTGGATGGTGCTATACTCCATCAACTTACTACGAGAACGGCTCGAGCACTCTGGGATTGCTCAACTTTCGTGTGTGTGCTTTCTTACCGTTGCTCGGGATTCCACTGGAAGTCCCGAATATCCCTCGGGAATCTGTGCTTCTGCGACCCCTCTCAACCCAGGATTCCTTCGCTGCCCTGGTGGAGAGGAGCAGAAAAGACGTCAGTATACGTGTTCGGGATTCCGCGCGGAGTTCTTGGATCTGCGCTGGACCCCCCTCTGTGGCGCGCGGAGCTCTCCAGGGGCGGCGCCGGAGGCGCCGCCAGGGGGGCCCAGCGCAGATCCAGGACATCTGCACGGAGCTACGACGTGCATGTTTGTGCAGTTTGTCTCCTTCGGCTGATCTTCCCTTGGGGCTCCCATCTGCCTCGAGGCCCTCCCACCCAACCATCACTCGGCCCTCCTCCTCCTTGGCAGCCCGCTGTCCACCAGGGTCTGCGGGCCGTCGCCCTTGGAGGTCTTCACATGGCCGATCTGCGCCAGCGCCTCGATGGAGAAGCCGTCCGCGCGCCCGCGAGGCGTGCCCCCGTTGAGGAAGTTGCCGACCGCGAGTACCTCGAGACGAGCAGGCCGAGAATCTCTACATTACCAGTGAGACCACCCTGCGTGCAATGAGGAGGAGGAGGAGTAAGAGGAGAACGTGGAGGAAGAGGAGGAGGAGGAGGAGGAGGAGGAGGAGGATGTGTGTGTGCGTGTGGGGGAAGGAAGAGAATCCGCGCTTACCGTACCTCGTTTTGCGATGGCCTTGCGTCGGGCTGCGCAAACGACCAACCCGCCTAGGTAGCCGAACCTGACTTCAGACCATATGTCAACACCTCTGCATATACGAATATTCACGTACAGATACAACGCACACGCGTACACGTGTTAAGTCGCAGCGCAGCTAAATTGGTCCGCACGCGCGGTCAGCCAACCGGGAGACGGCATCATCACCATCGCCATCATTATCGTCAGCATCATCCCCATCATCATCAACTACATCCACCACCACCATCTCCACCATCACCATCACCATCAGCATCATCATCGTCATCATCATCGTCATCATCATCAGTAGCAGTATTACTATCATCATCAGACAACTCTTCATCATTACAATAATCACCATCGCCATCATCATCACCACCATCATCGTCATTACCATTAACAACATCCACCACCGCCACCACCACCTCCACCATCATCATCATCATCATCATCATCATCATCATCATCATCACCATCATCATCATCGCCATCACCTTTAACAACATCCACCACCACCACCTCGACCACCACAATCATCATCATCTTCATCATCATCATCATCACCATCACCATCACCATCACCATCATCATCACCATCATCACCATCATCAGCACCATCATCATCATGACCACCATTAACACCATCAATATCATAACCATAACCAGCATAATTGCAAGCATCACAATCACCATCATCACCACCACCACCATCATCACCACCATCACCAACACTACCATCATCACCACCATGACCGTCATGCCATCAACACCTTCTACAAGGGGAGAGAGCATGCTTCGCATGGAATGAATGACGGCACGCTGAAATCTATGAGCTGTGAGTTCAATGAGTCTCCAAAACGTTGATTGGCGGAGGCTATGATGCAATCCGGTGAGGGTGGAGGCTATGATGCACTCCTTTGATGGTGGATGGGCGTATGGTGCCCTGCGCACTTCAAGGGAGAGCCTGCAACCCTCCTCCCCTGCGCACTCCCAGGGAGGACGGCGGCGGCGGGTCGCCAGGCCCAGAAGGCGCCGGATGCCGGCGCAGGACACCATCCGCCGGCAGCCCTCCAGGAGGCACGTCTGGGCCTGCGCGCCGGGGGAACGGGAGGACGAGGGGGAAGGAAGAGGAAGAGGGAGGAGGAGGAGGGAGGCGGAGGAGGACCTGAGCAACCCCAGAATCATCAACGATGCTGCCACAAACCATCCCACCGCCGAGTCCCCCCCTCATGATCCCCCAAAAGTCTTCCTGTCGACTGGTCGAAGCGCGCCAGAAGGCTCCAGGAGGATCCCACGCGGCGCGCCAGAAGCAAGCTGGCACGGTCGAAACGAGCGTCATACAACCAGCACGCTGAAGCCTCCGTGCGACAGCGTCGGCAGCCCTATGCCCGCCGAAGGCACGCCGGCATGTCACGCCCGAGATCCACCTCTTGCTGCCAACGCTGGCGGCTGGGTGTGCGCTGAAGCACGAGGGCACGAGCGGAACAACTGAGCGAGACACTTTGCTGAGAAGGAAAAAAAACGCATGGATGTGGCATTACGGTCACGAACTTGTGCGTAGCGTGCCGCGGCGACGGTCCTGGCGACACGCTATGCCGTGCGAGCGGATAGCGCGTGGCTCCGCTCTGCAGGGCGGGAGGCTGGGAAAAGCTCGGGACGTTGGTGCTTGGGGACCGCGATGCGGACAAGGTGTCGTGCCGCAGCGTGGTGGGCCAGAGCCGGCAAAGCGAAACGCGAAGCCCAAGCTCATGACCGAAACTCTCGGAGTTCGACGCGGGCCTTTCGTCGGCGGCGAGCCCGGGGGGGGAAGTGAGAAGGGGCGGGGAGCCCAGGGGGGGAAGCGAGAAGGGGCGGGCCTTTTCAGAGGGCTCGGAAGTCCATCCGCCTTCGGGGAGGTTCTCGGGGCCCCCGCCGAAGACGCCGAACACTTCTCGGGAGGCGCATGCGATGAATGATCATAAAACGCCATGGCGACAGGGGGGCCTTTGATGCCCCTTTCTATTGGTGAACGTGCCGGGCTTCCCGAGGAAGAGGAATCATAAACAACAATGCGATGAGTGAGAATAAAACGCCATGGCGACAGGGGGGTCTTTGAGGCCCCTTTCCAAGTACTGGGGAACGTGCCGGGTTTCCCGAGGAAGGGGAATAGTAATAAGAATGAGGATAATGAGACGACTAGTCATGAGACTAAGAGCAGTCAGATGAATGAATCAAAAGTAACAGCACGAATGCGAAGACCACACACAAGACAACGAATCATAAAAGAACACGAAATTGCGGATGACAAAAAAAACAAAAGAAAATGACAGAGGAGAAGACACGCCACCAGGAATGTTCCGGGAGACGTCTCCATTGCGAGGTGCCGCCGGAGATGCCAGGGCCCAGGCACGGAACAAAACCAAGGAAAACCGTGGCGTCGAAGGTGTGGGCCCCTCCTCGTGCGCGCAACCTGCTGCGCCCAAGGGCGTAGAGGCAGAGGGGGCGAGTCGTCCTCGGAAAGCCTGCGGACGTTCTCCTGGAAGGAGCTTTCGAAGTCCCAAACCTCCGCGTCGCGGCAAATTGGCGTGCCAGCGATGATGCCTGCCGCCGTCGCCGCCTCTGCTGCCATTTCTCATTGCCCCCCCCCCCGTCCGGTGCCGCAGCTATCCCTTTCCATTGTGAGAGGCGGGGGGTCGGGAGGCATAATGAAAGAGGTAGCTGGAGTGTTATATATATATATATATATATATATTCTCATACGCACCTCTCCGAGGGAGTAACGCTCAGAGGCGATTAATGCGTCCGTGCGTGCGTCCGTCTTTGATTTTTCTGGCCGTTTCGCTCGGGACATCCTCGAAATTCTGAAAATCGGTGGCACCCCTCACGCAGATCGTGACGTCAGAGTCCACAAACACATAGGAATTCAACCATGTCTACATCAAACCTTCAAAAACACATGGTAATTTCAATAATTTTGACCCCGATTTTCAGAGAATGGCGGTTTCGCCTGAGACATCCTCCCAAAATCGAGCCCCAGACCCCTCCTCGGAGCCTCCTGGGGGCCTCCTGGAACCTCCTGGGGCCTCCTGGGGCTTTCTGGACCTTCTGGTACCCCAGACCCCGCCTCGGAGCCTCCTGGAGTTCTCCTGGGCCTGCTGAGGCCGCCTGGGGCCTCCTGGGGCCTCCTGGGGCTTCAGAACTACATGCACACACAGAGACACAAATCACGCCCAACACATCACACGCTAGACAAACATAACATACACACACAACACCGACAACACACAAAAAGCACGCACCACACAAAGCACACATCACACACACACACACTCACAATCCTGGGGCCTCCTGGAGCCTCTTCTGGTATCCAAGTCGGGCCTCCTGAGGCTTCCTGGGGGGCCCTGATACACACATCGCAAGGTGTGGCAACCCCACTTGCGCTCGAGTGCGACTTCGCTGTTGCATGTCACTCCTGCTTCAAACGCCCCTCCAGCTTGTTGTATGAGCCTGGGCACACACGTGCCACTTGTATATATTCTCATACGCACCTCTCCGAGGGAGTAAAGCTCAGAGGCGATTAATGCGTACGCGGGGCGCTGCGTCCGCGATGTTTCTGGCCGTTTCGCTCGGGATATCCTCGAAATTCTGAAAATCGGTGGCACCCCTCACGCAGATCGTGACGTCAGAGTCCACAAACACATCGGAACTTCAACAGTCTAACATAAAACCTTCAAGAAGACATTGTAATTTCAATGATTTTGACCCCGATTCTCAGAGAATGGCGATTTCGCCTGAGACATCCTCACACAATCGAGGCCCAACGTACCTTCTGGTGCCCCAGACCCCGCCTCGGAGCCTCTTGGAAGCCTCCTGGAACCTGCTGGGGCCTCCTGGGGCTTTCTGTACCTTCTGGTACCCTAGACCCCGCCTCGGAGCCTCCTGGGGGTCTCCTGGAACCTCCTGGGGCCTCCCGCGGCCTCCTGGAGCCTCTTGGGGACTCCTGGAGCCTCCTCGGGTCTTCTGGGGCCTCCTGAGGCCGCCTGGGGCCTCCTGGGGCCTCAGAAATACCTTCACACACAGAGAGACACATCACACCCAACACATCACACGCTAGACAAACATAACACACACACACACACACACACACACACAACACCTACAACGCACAGAAAACACGCACAACACAGAGCACACATCACACACACACAACACTCACAATCCCGGGGCCTCCAGGAGCCTCTTCCGGTATCCAAGTCGGGCCTCCTGAGGTTTCCTGGGGGCCCTGGTACACACATCGCAAGGTGTGGCAACCCCACTTGCGCTCGAGTGCGACCTCGATCCCAGATTCTTCTGCGTTCACCTCCTGCCTCTTCCCCTTCTCTTAGGCACGCCCTGGCGGCGCCGCCCCAGCCTCCCCTTCTCCATCTCCGATCCTGCAGTCATGGTGTTTTCCTGCTTCAAACGCCCTGTCAGTTTTGTTGTATGAGCCTGGGCACCACTTGTATATACACACGTCTGAATCTATGTATATATGTATGTAAACATGTATATATATATATATATGCAGATGTGTGTGTGTGTGTTTGTGTTTGTTTGTGTGAGAGCTACCTGCTCACACTGTTTTGTTGTATCTCTCTGTCTCTCCCTGTCCCTCTATCCATACGAAAAGCTATGTTCACACACGTACCCAATCCGTACACCATGTGTAAATATGCACGCGTATGTGCACATGCACACACACACGCAAACGCACACAATTACATATTTGTGTATATATACACATATGCAGATCCCACGCCCTGGAATTCTCAGGCCAGCTGCAGCCAAAGGGGCACCAGCGGAGCTGATGCCGAGGGGCGTTGTCCATGTTGGTGGGATAATTCGTTTTCACGAATGGTCGATGTGCGAACGGACATGCATCCGCCATGAGACGCGCCGAACAAACCACCAGTGGACTGCAATCGAAAGTTTCACGCGTTCATTCAGGCTCCACGGGCGGGAGAACAGGGACGCACTTGAGAAGTGAAAGGCCAACGCGGCAGCGGCGGGCACAAGGGGCCAAGGCCACCAAGATCATACATAAAATCCCGAGCCTTGGGTTCGCTAGGCCAGCTGCCATTAAAAAGGGCGCAGGCGGAACTGATGCCGAGAGGCACTCACCTTTCAACTGATGCCGAAGGGCACTCGTTTCACAAACGGCCTATGTGCGAATGGACGTGCTTCCGCCATGACACGCGTCGCACACCACCCATATCGCCCATGCTGGCCCACTGGCCCGTGACCAGTACACACAAACAGCCAAGTGAAAGCTTCGAGTATCTGTCTGAAGCGAGGCGATCCACTCCTCGCCGAAGACTATCTGCAAGACGCAAAGCAAGGCAGTCACCAAACTGGAGAAAAGACGAGTTACGAAGCTTACTCGAAACACCATGCGCGCATTCACGTGCATCGCCAAATCCAAAAACGCAGTGGGCCCGAGAGCACATCACACTGGCACGCGCAAAGGAAGAGCGAGAGCAGGGTGATATCACTTTTGTGCGCACCCACTCTTGGTCAGCAGCAGTTTCGCGAAAGGAACGAACATAATAATCACATCCGACTTCGGCATTGATGGGGCTCACTAGGCATTCCACATTAGCGTAGCAGACCAGCGGGCTCAAAGCCACGGGGGCCTCAGCGCTCCCGAACAGTGGCAGCGCGAGAATGAAGCCTCTCATGGCTCGGGAGCTGATCCAGCCCACATGGTGCCTCCGCACCATAACCAAATCGCTATAGGACCCGTTGATCCAGCTGGCCGCGACGCCGTCGCGGGCCAACAGCTGACGGGCGATCGCGGCCGCGCCGAAGCCAACCTCGAGGGCGAACTGATCTTTGAATGCTGCGCACAGCCTGCCAACGCGGGCCAGGCGCAGAAGGCCGCCATGCCCCGCTCCGCGAGGTACCCGGCCCGCTTCGCGCATCGGGCGGGGCCGCGGCCCCCCCCCGCGCGCCGGAACCGCTCTTGATGCGCAGCGGGCAGCGCCTCGTCGATCGCCGCAGCGTGGCTCGCTGCCCGAGCGAGCGCCCGGCAGGGCATGGCCGCGGAGCCGCTGGACAGCGGCGCCAGACGCTGCCTGACTGGCCCCGCGAACTGGACGCCGCCGATGGGCCACAGCCTCTCGCGGCGCGCCCTGCGGGCGCGGCACCTGAGAAGCAGATTCCCCGCGGCGCCCGCCCGCGCGCTGTCCCGGAGCGCGGCGCCCTCGTGGCGTCCGCGGGTCTTGCTGCGCCTGCCGCTCTCCACGGAGAAGAACGACAATGCCTGGCGTGGCTTGGCATCGCGGCCAGGCCCCGCGAGGCTGCCCCCACGTCACCTCTGCGAGGTCGATCGGCGGCCTCGGCATGGCGCCCCGCGCGACGAGCAGTGCCGCGGCCATCTCCGCGCGGCTCTCCAAGACGCACGCGCGCACGATCCGCGTCGGAACGAGCATGAGCCAGCGAGCCAGGACAGGCCCTTCGACTTCGCTTTGAATTGGAGCCCGCCAGCGCTGCGCGACGCAGTTGGAGCTCGCTCCGAGCCCAGCGCCTCGTGGCCAGGCGGCGCCACTGGAAGATCGACGGCAGCTTCGACCCCTCGTCGGAAAGCTAGCCCGACCGGAACAGCATGCCCATGTTACTCGGCGATGCTCTCGTCCAGGATGTCGACGCTGACCGCCGGTAAGATCTGCGCCCCCGACCAGGCGGTCCACTCGTCGAGCTCCACGTCGAACACCTGACGCGCGCTCTCTCCGACCTCGCACCCCTGCAAGAAGGTCAGAACGCGCCGCGCTTTTCGGCCCGCGCGTCGCCCGCGGGGCTCTCGGCTCGAGCGGCGGCTCGGGCTGACCTCGGCTTCTCGGCCTCCCGCTGCCGACACCGAGCTACAACTGCTGCTCGAATCGCAGCGACGCAGGCCGCGGGCCCCCGCCGTCTTCCTCGCGGGGGGGCGAGGCGCCGCACTTGGCTGGGCGGTCTCCCTCGGCGAGGTCGCCGCCGTGGACGGCCGCGCGGCCGTCGCCCCGCTCGCCCCGCGCCCGGAGCAGCTCGCTGACGTCGGCCCACAGCAGCTTGGCCGAGGCGCCTCCCGCCAGGCAGCGCCAGCAAGGGCGGGCGGCGCGAGACGGCTCGTCTGCCGACCTCCGCTCTGGTTGGGAAACGAACATCGCGAGATCACGCAGACGTCAAACATGATGCCGATGCTGGTGAGCACGCAAACTGTCCGGTGTCATTACGGCGTGGACGACCCCCCTCTCCCCGAGGCCAGAGCGAAGGACATGTTATCGACGAGAGCCAGAAACATGATCAATTCCCTCGGCCGTTGAGCTGCGAACGGGATGACGAACTACCGAAATCAAAGCGAGACCATCCGAATGCGCGATGTCTCCGCTGTGGCCCCAGCGCCCAGACAAGTGATTTGGTGTGCCAGTCTCTGTGGCCACGCGTCGGCGGGGTCTTATTCAACGGCGCCTGGCTCAAGGCTGCCGCCGTCCGCGCCGCCGTCGCGCCCGGCGCTGCGCGATGCCCTGGTGGGATCGGTGGGCGGAC